GGTTCTGCTGAAGATTTCTTCCTGTTAAAAGGAAGTTTTTCCTTGCCACTGTTGCCAAGTGCCAAGTTTGCTCACAAGCGGTTGTTGATTGTTGTGGTTTTCTCTGTTTTATTGTAGAGTCTTTATCTTACATTATAAAGATAAATACAATTTAACTGAATTAAGCTGAACTTCTCAGGCCTGTTACTTTAACTTCAGCTACCTCATAAAACAAGGTTACAAGCTACAAATACAACAATCTGCCTCATCTGTCATGTGTTTTTGTGTTGTGCCTCCCAACTGCTTTACTGACATAATATACTTACTAAATCTTTTGTGTCTTGCTTTATTCCTCACTATTTAACATGTAGGAAAGTTCACATATGTAATTAGCATTTCCTGTCCACAAACTCTTACAGAAGCCATCTGGTCTGTTTTGTGTTTGCCTGTGCTGCTGAATTTTAGTTTTATCTACTATACAACTATTCAAAAGCCTATGCACAGATTGGATGGTAAAGCCAGTTAAGTCAGAAAGGAAATGACGGGGACAGAGGCAAAAATTCTTTGAACAGCAATCAAAAAAAATAGATGATTAAGGGCAACAACTGACTGTCATTTTGCGTGTTTGACTGGAATGACTAACTGAGAGAGACACAGATGAAGGCAGAGTGCACCTGTGCTGTGATGTGCCCAGCGGGAATCTGGTAATACATCTGCTATAATTTCTACAGCGCCGGGAAAAAGCACCCTTTGCTCAGGACAGCTGGTTTCAGTTATTCACTTTAATGGAATTTGATTCATTTAGCAGAAGCTAAAGGTGTTATAAGAGCGATGGTGGAAAAAGCTTAAACTTGCCCTTCTTACCATTAACAAGCGTGGCATTAAAGGGAGAAGGAACTGAGAAAAGGACACAAAATGAAAGACTTTATAAAGAGTTAAATATGGCTCTTTTATTTTGTTTTAATTACCCCGTTATTAAGAAACAGCGGGACTGTTAAACACCTGCCGTTGCCAACATTTTTGCTGAGTGACACAGCTGATGTTTTTATTTTGCACATTGAACAGGCTCTGTGTTTGTAATCCTTTCGGGGCGGAGCTCCAACCATAAACAGTCCACAGACGGAGAATCGTATGAGGCTCGCCTGTGAGATCAGTGTCGGCCCGAGGGCATCGATGGGCATTTCCTCTTTGTGCCTTCTTCATAATGTCGCTCAGAAATGTTCAGGCCCACAGACAGAAAGGTTTTACATAAAGCAGACAGGCAGATGGAAAATGCCAAATAAAGAGGAAGAACTATGAGCATGAAGCGTGGGGCTAGCAGTTTGGCCAGACTGAAAGGTCTTTTTTGGTGTATCACTGTTAGCCCTGGGGCATTATTTGGCACCCCTGCCCCACCATGTCCTCCTACTCATATGTCACTCTGCCAGGGGGTCCCCCTGCCCACCTCTCCAGAGGCCCTGCTGTAACTGTGCTAATGCCAAAAATATCCTCTGCTAATGGAGGGAAGGTAGAGGGGACAGATCAATAGGAATTATCAATGACATTGTTAGCTTCCTGCAAGCTAACTTATTGTTTGTGCCCTGAGTGTCCGGATTGCCCAGAGCTATTTTTCACCAGATTGATTCCTCTGTGAACAACAAAGATGCTAAAACAAAACCCCAAAACATGATTAGGCTCATAAAGCGGATTTGACTGATGATTTTTTTCTTATAAATTTAAGTCTGACATGAAAATTCCTTTATAATGCCACATTACTAAAATAAACTGGGGTGCACTCCCCATCCGAAAGGCGAAAACAAGTTTTATTTGCTTACTCTGGTCAAACTCAAGCTCTAAATGCCAGATTGAGACAGATACAGTGCACACGATTGGAAAAAAAATCAACAAATCCAGAGAATGAGAGCAGGTCAGACTCTGAGACAGGTCAACCTGTAATTTGACACATCTTATGAACAGAAGAGTGTCCAAAATAGAATGATTCATGAAAAATTCATACAGATGATATAAAGAAGGGAAGAATAAAGTGTCAAATAACTGCTGACATTTATACATTCATGCTTCATAAACACTCCCATAAGCATAAAAGCCTTGTGGTTTGTAGAAGCCTGTCCTGGAAGTGTACTTAAACTGACATTACACTTATGTGGTAAGTAATTGTATGTGGAGGACTGTAAAGACATAATTCTTTATTATAATATTAACTGTGTTTCTTGGCAGGTCAAAGAAACGTTTCTTGATTAAATCTGTGGAAAGCGTCTTTTCTTGCTTTTAAAATGTGATCATCTTTGTGGGGTTTGCTTATAATATTGCAGCTTTCCATAAATCTAGAAAAGTTGGGTTTTGTCTTTTTATTCCTAGAGAACAAAACATGATGATTCAGTGGAAAAGGAAATGAAATCTGCTGCGTGACAGCAGGTCACCGGTGCTATGGGACACAGTGCAGATGGTCTTTATAACACTTCATTTTACTGCAGTACATACAGTCAGCAACTTTCAGAGTCAATGATGTCATCTATGTGCTGAATTACACAAAGCATCATATAGTCCTAGCATGCTGCTGTTGCAGGTGAGCAGCAAGAAGGAATAGATGAGCAACTTAGGCAAAGCGATGCACAAATTTGGCAGGTTTTGTATGATCTCTGATAACGATACGCACAATAAACTAAATCCTGACTAAACTAACGTTTCTTTGTTTTCTGCATGTGGCGAGGAAAAGAACAGGGAAGGAACACAAAACAAAATCTCTAAGTAAGCTCTACGTACGACTGACATACGTAGCAGACATATGATGGTTTCTACAGGCAACGATCAAGATCTGTGCGTTTATTCTCTAAAATAGCAGCACAGCTAATACACACACGCACACATCGTCAGGCTCCCTGCAAACCTCTAGAATAAAAGCAGGCCAGATTGTTTTGTGGGTACGTGTGTGTGAAAATACTTAGGACGAATACTTCTACAATCGATACCCTCGTAGTTTCTGTAGTAAAAGCAAAAGGGAAAATAATCAATAGGGACGGCTCACTGAGACATAATGTAATAGCTTCATTAGACATCTCCTCCCCCAGGTTACACATGTACATATAAATATAATAATAAATATAAAAGCCTTGTTTTCATGTTGTTCACCTGCTCGTTCAATACAATGCTTCCCCAGAAGTACACAAGAATGTTAAACATTGCACACATCTAATTGGTAAATGGACCTTTTTACTACAAGCATACAAGCGTGTACCGTACAATACATCATGATGCTCTCTCTCTCTCTCTCTCTCTCTCTCCTTTGGTTAATCTAGCACATTCAATGTAATGACAGAGCTTTCAGTGATACACCATACAAGCATGCACAGAAGTACACAAGAATACTGGAAATAACACGCATCTAATTGGTAAATGGACTGGTACTTATAGACCTTTTTACTACAAGGATACACCAATCAGGCATAACGTTTTGACCACTGACAGGTGAAGCAAATAACACTGATTACCTCTTCATTGTGGCGCCTGGATTTGAGCGAGTTTAATAAGGGCCAAATTATGGTTAGACAACTGGGTCGTGCAAAACTGCAGCTCTTGTGCAATGTTCCCAGCATGCAGTGGTATGTATCTATCAAAAGGAACTGATGCTTGTGGGATCATTAATTGATACAATATACAAGCATGTACTTTTATAGAACTACACAAGAATACTGAACCCATCTAACGCACATTTAATTGTTAGATGGACTGGTACTTGAAGAGCTTTTTGCTACAAGCCAAGGGTTTTCTATCATGGATGCACTCACCCTACGGTGGATACATCAGGACCAATTTGGGGGTTGGTTTATTGCTCAAGAATACTTGGACTTGCAGGCTGAAGGACTTGGACCTCTACCTCCTGAGTCAGAGCCTCCCCAAATTAAAATTTTAATACATGAACTTCTGATTAGAGGAAATCTCTGACAGGTTTAACAGAACTTGCAGCCATTTTTTAAAACCTATCATCACATTAAACATGCTGGGTTAACCAGAGGAGTGAAATAGAGCGCTATGGCACATCATAAATGTATGAAATTTAGAGCAAACAGGAAGATGAACACTCGTAACTTTTGATCGGATGGCTGGACACCTGTCCAGAAAGGCTAAGCCTACCCCGCCTAGTATTATAGGACAACACAACCCTCACACACTCACAAACGGCACACACATGCATAACCTGTGTGTCGGTCATTTCACTTTACTCCATCTAGCAGCTAATCTGTGCATCGCATGAGAAAAAATCCCAACTGGACAAAGATAAATCAGTCTGTGCAGCGCTGATGGCGTTTTGGTGACACACAACAGAGAGCAAACAACATGTTCAAGCCCTGTGAAAGTGAGGCTCTAAGTGTGCGTGCGTGCTTTTATTTGGTCATTTGTTTGCTTGCTCATGCATAAGACATTGTAGCTTTCTGCACTTCACAGTGTCTTGGGAAATTACAATATACAGGCTAAGCGACACTCCATGTAAGTGCAATGCTGTCCGTGCAGCACATCCGTCCTACTCACATACCAGTAGGTATATATTACTGATTACTGCAGAGGCTGTAGTCAGTGCATGAATTGTACTCTTTGTACAGTTATCCTCTTAGGTGTTAACAGCAAGCTTCAGTGTCTCTATTCATTCAACCCCCACACCTCCTGAGAATTGCCAAAACACTTAGCACATTTGTCTTCAAATATCAAGTTTCATACCGCACACGTGTACATACACATTTATACAAACTGTGCACATAAAAACAGATGTGTCAGACATATGAAAAATACATAAGAACACGACAAAATATAAGCAAGCCCTTGGAAAAATATTTGCACAGGAAACTATTAGGATTGATTTTTTTTCCTCCAGGTGCTTCAACGCTTTACACTCTGCTACAGCTTGTGAATGTTTTTTCCAGGTCCTTACCCTATGTGTGTGTGTGTGTGTGTGTGTGTGTGTGTGTGTGTGTGTGTGTGTGTGTGTGTGTGTGTGTGTGTGTGTGTGTGTGTGCGCACGCCCTTACCACAGTTAGGTAATGTCAGTCTGGACAGCAGTTTGCGTGCTCCTCCGTCCTCAATGCAGCGTAGCTCCTGAATGTCTGCTTCCTCTCCTAACCACAGTTTGATCCACATGTTCTCACAGGAGCAGTGGAGAGGGTTTCCAGACAGGATCCTAGAAGCACACACACACACACATTGAAGATCTGTGAGAAGCAGAGCATAGCAAAGCACAAAAGAATAACAGACATTTTGGAAGATTTAAGAAAGAGAGGAATTGTAACTGTTCGACACCACTAGTGTTAAGTGTTTCTGGGATTTGTTTTTTTTTTCTTTTTTTGTCACATTACAAGGTTTTGCTACTAACATCTCTGCATGCTCTCTGTGCTGTTATTGAGCTTTTAAATCGGGGGGAAAAATAGAAACGGGGAAAATAAATCTAAGAATAAAATACAACCTCAACCTCCTGGGTGAACACTTTTGATTGCAAAGGGATTGGACAACTTGTCTCCAAACAATCACAGTCTGACTCAGACTCACTGCAATCACTCTCAGACAGATTGCCAAAGGGTTAAAGATAACTTCCATGTAATTTATAAACACAGACAGACTGACTGCTCTGCGACATGTTTCATTGCAACAGGCAACTCAGTTATTGTAGGGTTTTGTCTTACTATACAACCAACCGGTTGCGTTCCAATATAAACCTAAGTTTGTAGTTGAATTACTATCCCGTAACAACTATGTCACTATTTCTGACTCTCTGTTTCAAATTAGGATCTGACTGGACTCTGAATGCAACTAAAAAGTCAGCTCCTCTTTAATCAAGAACTTCTAAAAAAAACCATTTTCTTGCTTGAGGAAAATTACGGACTAAATAGAACTATGAACCGATGAGATTAAAAACCTAAGATGCCATTACAGATGCTACTGTGTGTATTTGTGTTTATCTAAAGACTCTCATAGTAACTAGGAGGTAAACCAACAGACACACACAGGGATAGAAAGACTGATAGCAAAGGTTCCTCTGAACTCACAGATAAGAGATGTTGAGGTGTTTGAATATCCTCCAGGACAGGGATGACAGGTTGTTATCTTTCAGATTCCTAGAAATTAAATCAAACATTAGGGAAGAAGACAGTGTTTGTAGCACCAAAGCAAAGTAGTGGATTGTTGTTAGGACTAATAGCACATGTCTGCTTCTATCTACACTAATAAGCCTGTATTATATTTCTCATTTAAAGTTTTCCCCACACATTGTCACAGACTGTCACAATTAACCTTAAGTGTCGCATTAATTAAATATAATAAGTATCAAACTAAACTTTAATTATATTGACTCTGCATCATGGTTTGACTATCAATTATAAATCTTGTTAACCTGTAGCGGACTTCGTTTTTCATCAATCTCACTGCCTTCACTGGCTTTTCTTCTTACTTATTAATTTTCTCTTCACAGTGTGACTTGTTCACATTGCGTTGCAAAGGTACACATTTTCAATCGAAGGGAAGGAATAAACAGCATGACTTTTTACTCACAAGTACTGCAGTTTAAAGTTGTTCTGAAAGGCCAGCTTTGATACATATGTTAGCCTGCTGTTGGTCACCGTTCTGCCACAAAACAAAAGCAAGAACATCATCAGTATCTTCATGAACATTTGTCTCACATCACAAGCCAGGCAAGACGAGGATATGTGCCAGCAATAAGAACCTGGTAACCCATATTCTGCTCTCCTTATTGTCTTATATGACCTACAAACCACAACCAGGATATATATATATATTAACACAACACTTTTTTTAGAAAGTAGAACAATTTAGGTCCAAAGAACTAATCAAATGATGAACATTTAGAGATTTAAAAGAGGACACGCTTTCTGTTATTGGCTGTCCAATATAGGGATGTCTGTGATGCAAACTGACAGAGACAAACAAAGGTTGTTTTTCATATTAAAATCTTATATCAGTCTCCCTTTCTGTTAAAATGACGTTTATATAAACAACTCCAATAAAAACTTCATCCATCAGAGCTAATCGAAGCTAATACACTGGATCCGCTGGGCATAGTGTAAATGGTACCCCAATAGAAATGCTTTTATGTACATAAAAAATTAATATTAATACACAACAGGCATTACACAACGATGCTATAACGGGATGCATAAAGTCTTTGCCCTTTATCAGTTAAGGTGAGGCTGTAAGACAATATTGCCGTTTGGTGCGATGTTATCTCCTGCAGCTGATGGTGTGGCATCACTTGGGCTGAGTGTTTAGTCATTAAAAGTGTGAATCATAACAAAATATTGTTGTATGACTAGTCAGATCACACACTATTACATTAACACAGCACAGAGTGTAAGTGTTTGTGCAGCGTGTCTTAGACACACGGGACATTTGTTTCAGATAGAAGCTTAAACACAGCATTTAAGACTTTCTGCATTTATAGCTGTTTTCCCATGAGTCCAGCCACAATGAAAACCATACAGCACACTCACTGTGGATATGTGCTTTGTGCTAATTTGCTTGGCAAATGGGATACTGGTTGAGAAATTAGGTAGCGTTTTCCTAACAGATTTTATCTTCAGGGTAGAAGAAAGTGGTTGCTAGTGGTTATAGGTTTTTTTTTTTCTTTTAAAGAAGCAAATTAAGATAAAGAAGTGCAGAACTGGACAAAACACTGTGTGATGCAGTGATAAACACAACAAGGCTGAAATAAATGAATAAGACTAGTAAAAAAGAGGAGAGAATGTACATAGAAATGCTGCCTATTGTTTGGGTCCAACATTGGACAAGAACACTTTAAAATAATGCAGACAGACCTCAAAGGGTACACGGGTAATATAAGCCATTAAAGACTCACAGGTTCCTGAGATTCTTGTAGTAGTGCAGGTCTTTGTCGCTGATGGAGGAGAAGCTGCTCTGGTTTGCGATGTAACTGTCAAGAGAACCAAGCGTTGGTGAGACGGCTCATTTGTTAACAGGTGGAAGCATAAACAGAAGCATTTCAAAAAGTCAGAGGGACCAAAATAAAATAATAATGAAAAAAAAGGACTCTGGAAAGCGTGCAGGTGGTACGTAGGAGATGGGGGGGGCAGTGAAAAAGGAACAGTTCTCGCCTCTTTTCCTCAGCAGCACTTGTGCATGGCACTTGATTCTAGAGCCAGCAGGAGATGATTGTGGGCAACTCCCTTGGGTGAATGAATTTAGCTGTGCGAATGTGTGCTGGAAAGCAGTATATGCGATCTTTGAATATCACAGCTTCGGGGTCGGATTTCTGAGAACATTTAGAGCTAAACAAAAGCTCTGGACAGTCTTTCCCATCAAGGGAACACACTGTAACAGTCACAGCACCGCCCTTTGTCCTGCACTTATTGCACATACTCCCTTGCTAAATCACAAGGTCAGTAAATAATGTGTTTTTTTCCAAGGGGGTAGACAAGCAGTGAGTGAGAAAAACCATCTCTATTGATTGATTTGTTGAAGGCTGTAGAAATGAAGGAGCAATTCTTTTGGGAAATATTGCAAATTCATCAGGTGTAACTTTTAGTTCATGTTTCTCAATGTATGCCATAATAATTACATTTTAGTTGATGCAAGTGAAAAAATAAATGAGTTAGGACTGAAGGGACAGCACATGGCCTGTTTAGCAGGGGGGTCCTGGTGAATTTAGGGGGTTGCTACCATAGTAGCACTGGTCAGTGTGATTGCTCTAAATTGCAATGCAATTGGTTTGGCTTGCATATAAAGTGGATGTTGTGTTTACTTCCGATTACTTAGTGTTTTGCTGCCTGTTTTCTGCCCCTTTGGGAAAAAAAAGGGGGGGGGGTAAGTAACATAGATACAGGTGGTTAAATAAGAATATAATTCCTTAAAATAGTACACCATGCAATCTGCATGTCTGGGGTGCTGCAGAAAACCTTTTGTGCACAACACCTATCCTTTCCTTCCCCTCATTTCCCATCACAATCCACTAGAAAAAAAACGTAGGGAAAAAAATCTGGTGATAATGAAATGTATCTCTCAATAAGGAGCACACTGTACTACTAAAGCCTGACGGCAGTGATGCATGGACAATGTGACAAAATGATTTTAGTGGAACAAACTCGTTTGCGATCGGAAATAAATCACCAATTAGTCACTCGGTGTCTGCTCTTAAAAAATAAAAATAAAACAAAATAAAATAAAATAAACACCTGCAAAAGAGTCTAAAGGGGAACAGCAGACAGTCTTGATGAATAATAACGCTGCTGTCAAATAACACAAGTGTGCACATGTTTGACGAAGCCGTGGCTGAATGTCTGTTTTAGTGAGCTGGCAGGAATTTAACTGAGCTTTTATACCCATTATTATACCCACATATGTGCTTTAGCCTCCTTTGTCTGTCGGTGTAGGGGTACAAGCGTGAATATACAAACTCTGGGAAATTTCTGTACGCGTGGTTATGTTTTCAGTATTTAAGCAGGAGGGCATTTTCTGTGCGTAACAAAACACATTGCCATTTATGATTGTCTGTATTATCCAGTCATTAGCACAGCCACCTCCCTGAATCCCCTCTAAAGGATATTTTCTTAACAGATGGTGACTAAGTATGATTTGTTTGGAATTCTGAGCATATACATACCGCAGGCTACACATTACGGCACAAAAGAGACATCACCGCAGACTGTGTGAGCTGTTACACCCATACAGCACATCGATTTCTGACCAGTTGTTGAGGATTCAGATCAACTGTCATAAACTAAGTCCAACCAAAAACGGCACATACGACAGGGCGCACGATGACCTACAGTAGGTTTTTTTTTTTTTTTTTTTGGCAAGGTCGTTCGGAATTAGCAGTTCCACGGTCATCAGTAATTTGTCTGTTTACATTAGCCAAGCACTCGGTCAGTGCTTTTCACCACACTGGCTCATTCAAAGAGCTTCCAAGGCTTCTCCAAGGCCGCCGATAAAAACTGTTTATCTCTGACATAAGTCATTACCAACAAGGCCGTTTATCTTTGCCAAGAAATATGCTGGCGCAATTAAAAACCTTAATCTCCCGTTTAATTTGTCTCGGCTGCAGAGGTGCCTCAGCTTATTTTCAGGCCAAGTGACGTTTCATTAAATGTGAGTGGAAAAAGCTCAAATACAGCCCGGAGAGGAGATGATACAGTACATCTAAACACACACTGAGATTTATGGCATCTTGCGCCCGACCAACCTTAAAGAGACTGCCAGCAAAATGTTGAGTCTGACAAGAAAAACGTCACTTTTCTTTTTTTTCTTTCTTCAGCATCGATTCTCTCCGCCTGTGTGGTTCATTTAGATAGCCTACACTCATATAAGCCATCTTGGGAATTGTCTGTGCTAATATTTGGACTGTAGTGTCTGGCGTCTCCACACAAACACGAGCACGTACGCGCGCAGACTGAGCTGTCTATTTGTTAGAATAAAGCCCATCAGCTTCAGTTGCATTTCATTTCTAAACGAGCTTGTTTCCTCGCTGGTGCCGAAAGACTGATGTGCCCCTTGATGCCAAAGAGTCTGTTATGCAATGTGGGTTGCACTTGATGCCTTTCTGAGGCAAACCCTTGCCAACGAGGAAAGAAGTGTAGGCTGTCGGTTACTTAAAATCCTACCTGAAGTGATATGGATTTACGAATTCGCTTTAAAATTCATTCATCACATCAGAAATAAACAACATTTGGGCCGCTTTCTTTGCTGACTGTGTATCTGTCAGCTCCCCATACAATTGGCTGAATAGGGGTGAAGGATGCCGTTTCTTTATTTGGGAAGTTCTGGGAAATGTGGGCCGCTGGAAAAGGATAAAGTCGGGAAAAATATGCTGATTTGCCCCTGATGCATTAGCTTCACATCTCTCCGTGAACCGGTGCTTATGAGGGAAACTCACATGTCGGTGATGTTCTCCATCTCTGCCTCGGTTTGCAGGACGGGGAAGGCATTGATACCCCGCTCCGGGTCCACGCAAGAAATCCTGGTGCTGCTGCAGGAACAAGAAGAGGGGCATGCCTCGGCGGACATCCACGGATCACCCGAACCTACCGCCACCCCGACTACCAACACCCACCACCACCAGCAGCAGCACCGCCACGACCCAAACCGTCTCCCCGGCGAGGAGAGAGCCCCGCTCCCGGGTCTCAAGGCGCTCATCTCGGGTGCCGCCAACTTCAGCTATAAGGCTCGCTGAATAGCTCCACGGCCCGGCCCAGGTTGGCTGGGATCAGCCCCGGTTCGGCCAATAGAGGAGAGGAGAAATAAAACAAAATCCGCCGCTGAGATGGATGCAGGCTACAAAACCATCGACCTCTCCGGCGATGACAGACTAGAAGGAGAGAAAGGGGTGGGAAAAAGAGAAAACCGGAGAGCGTGTAGTCCCTTCCCCGTGTGATTCCTCCAGAATCCCCCAGTCAGTCAGCCAGTTAGTCAAAATCTCACTGCCACACTGGCAATGTGTGCCAAGGAGGATCGCTCTCGCTCTCCCCCTCTCTCTCTCTCTCAGCTGACAAGCACCGGAACCTCCTCCCGACAGAGTTGTCGTGTGTGGAGGGTAATTTTCGGTTGTTGTTAGTGGTGGTGGTGATGTAGGTGTACAAAATGACAGTCAGAAGGTGAGCACCGCACCTCACCTTCGCCGGGATGAAGAGGATGAAGGAGCATCAATGCACGCCGTGAATAAACATCACCGATGCCCTCTTAGAGAACCGGTTCTCGTACCCTGCTCTCAGGAAGGTCCGGGGGAAGGGTCAGGGGAAGAGCACAACTGTTTCTTGCTCAAGGGGCACATCACCAAAGCCTGTGCTCGCTCTCCACGCGTGTTGTCTGGTTAATAATTTATCCTCATTTGGTTTAGTTAAGTTTCCTTGTAGCAAGATGTGAGCGTCCTTATCTGACATAAAGAGAAAGACAGAGGCGTGGAAAGACCTGTGCTCTGAACAGCTTACTTAATTTATCCGCTACCTGGCTTCAGATCGTTGACTAAATGAGATACAAGGGGCTATCAATTTAGAGGCTCTAATTGTCGTAATCATTTTCATCAACACTGTTGCCATCGTTTTTATGATTATCATCTGGCTGTAATACTTCTGGAACGGTACACAGCTAATCAATGAAAAACAAAGCTGTTTTTCGCAGTCGCTTCCTATTTAATCCTCATTCGACATGTTAGAGTAGCCGACTGTGTTTAAATATCCTGGAGCTTTATTTCTAACTGAGCTGAGAGATGCTTAAAGATGCAGGCTGGATGTAATATGTACAGAGAAAGAGTGAGCAATCACTGATCATCAGGTCTTTAGCTGGCATGTACTTCACCTGGCGTCACCATATTAAATCATTAGGCCATATTTCATAATGATCAGAGGCTCTCAGCCAAACCAGACCTGAATCAATAACATGTCATCTTAGAGTGCAAGTTATACGGCTGTATGCCAGTCACCCTGTTGCTATAGGCCAGATCTCCTTCAGCTGGATGAATTGCTAACATAAGAGTTGGTCTCTCCCTGCTCTCTACAACTGGAGAACAGAGCTACTCCTCCACAGTCGTTCACCTTATAAGTGAGAGACAGAGGATGACAGAACATCTGCCTGCAAGCAGCAGAAGCCCCAGCACGCCACATCTGCGAGGCTCCCTCTCCTCTCCTCTCCTCTCCTCTCCTCTCCTCTCCTCTCCTCTCCTCTCCTCTCCTCTCCTCTCCTCTCCTCTCCAATGTTCCGTCCCCCATGTGCAGCTCTAATATGACGTTTGTGCTGACGCACAGGCAGTGCTGCTGAATAGAGGAGCGTAATTATGGAGCCCTGTTTGTGTGCAGACCAATCTGGTGGGTGTCTGCCTCACAAACTGGGGTGTATGCACTCTGCACAGAGCAACGTGGGTGTACCAATTAAAAAAAATTGTGTCTGACAAAAACAGAATATTCAGATTCCTCTCTGCTCCTTTACAGGATGCAACCTGTGTTACAGGTCTGTGATATATTAATAACACCAGGCGAACCGTCTGTCATCCTCAGAATGGGTTTTCCATACAGCACTGTGCGCCTACCACAGCACACAATACATTTGGCTTCTTGTGAATCAGCATGTTTCATGGTTTAAATCACCACTTTCAATGTATTTAAACTGTACACGCATAAATTGACATTCAAATATGTTAAAGGTGTCTCTCTGGACGTTTCATTTGGCAGCCATACCCCTCTGGCAGTTAGTATAGGGTTTAATCCATGTCATATCTTGATAACCCTTTGCCAAAAACGAGCTTCTTTGAATAAAATGAGCAGCTTATCTAGAGTCAGACTTTAATTATTGAAATTAGATGGGACATTCCTTTAAAGTACTTTCTTTTGGATGAGTTCTGCCTCACAAAAAAGAAAAGAAAAACACATCCATTTGCAAAATGTTAGTGGGTGAGTCATAAATGAATCAGCTCTAGAAATAAAAATCAGAGATGGCATTTAAATATATAAATCTGTTTATTAATAAACGATGAACTCTGTTTGAGGCTGATGTATGTGCGCATTCTCATGATGTCATCCAGCTCCCCCCATAACAGCATGGCATCATGATGTAAAGATCTTTGCCTCTGGCTGTGTGGAGACTGGTGAATTGCATCGGTTTTCATTCATTATGCTCACAACTATTTTGTATCTTTACAAGTATTTGCAAATAACCATCAAACTGGGGCTACAAATAATATTCAATTAATCTCTTGATGGGTCCATTTAGATACAGGATTAGATTGCTCCCAGAAATATCCACTTCGAGGTGATGACAGTCGAGTATACAATCATCACAGTCTCCCCTGTGTTCCTTTCAGATCAGATGTTGTTGAATCCCAATCGCCTATTTTATCGTCACAGTCATTCGTTGTTGAGTCATAATTGCTTTGGCCGCTGCTTTGCAATCATGTCGCTCCATTAAAGCCACCTGTGCTGCTTCCTGTTGTTGCATCATATTCTGTTCTTGGGTTTTCTTTGACTGAGAACATAATATGTGTACTTACGGCTGTTACCTCAGGTTTGCACAAGATGAGGAACAATGTCTTGTCATTTTCAAGTCCAAACTTTTACCAGAACTTGTTACGGTTTATTTATTTGGGACCATATGCTGCTTTAGCCCAAAGCTGAGAGTAACAGAACCCGGGTCATGACTGGAACAGCAGACCAGTGAGTAGATGGGAGTATGTAATGAAAACATCGCTGAGGTGAATGTGTTTCTTCTTTCAGTAAATGTGAGGCGGTTTGGCACACAACACACAACCCGTGGAGAGACAAACCTCAGTCGGTCTGGACTATTTCCCTCCTCTCTTCTCTTTCTAATGTACTTTCTGGCTACATCAAAGTATGAGGAGATAGTAGTCTTCAGTGGAACCCACAAGTCTAAAAATTGTCTGAATGTCACTTTCTGAACAGAATTATTACTGCAGAGCTGTGATTAAAAGGAACAAATGCATGACATGATGAGCAATTTTAATGAAAGGAAGTAAAATTTGGAAATTGTTCTTAATTTTCTTTTAACTTTAAGAAAGTCAAGTTAAAAGTTTTCTTTATTTTTCTTTTTTTTTGTCAGTGGTTCAACATGCCTCCAGTTATGCTCCGCTGTTATAGATTTTCCTACATATAAATGTTTTGTTTTGATGTTTCTTTACTACTGTGGTTTTGTACAGCATGTCACGGGGGTTCGTGAACTTATTTGAACCTCTACAAGTCATTTGAATTGTGGTTCTACTGACAGATTATACACCAGTGCTCTCTAGTGGCAGACGGGATACTTAAAAAGCCAATTTTCAGAAGGTACAACACAATGTTTCCAGTGAGCTGGGAGTTTAATCTAATAAGTGATGAACTTCTGCTTTGTTTCATTTTAGAAAGTCTGCACATATACAGAGTGTCCTCTCAGGCTGCTAAAGGACCAAAGGAAATGACTGAAGCTTTTAGAAAGTAATGCACCAATAACCATCCCTGTCAGCAAAAGAACAATGAAGTATCCCATCTGTGACTTTTTAACTACATAATCTGATCATCCAAGCAGACAGCAGTCCAAAAAAAGAAGAAGCCATTTAGTAGCCATGCATTAGTAACAAATAGTGGACACTATTCGAGAGGGGAGTGAAGTCAGTTGAAAGGAGGAAGGGAGGGGAAAAGGTTGGGACAGGTGGGGTTAAAGTCTTCCAGTGAGTGCCTGACATACAGTCAATGAAGAGCAAGGAAATGGAGCTGGATATAATAGAAAATAAGGATGGAAAACAAGGAAATGACAATGAGGCCTTTGAATCAGAGGTAAGTAAGGCATAAAACAATCTTAAAAGAACTGGAACCTTTTCGATCATTTCGATTACAAGATGGTTTGAGCTACGTTTGTTTGTTTGTTTTATATTTAATAATTAAAATAACATCTTCTGACTTTTACTGAAGTTGACAATAAACTTTGAGGCTTCTGAGGACAATTAAACCAACTCAAATGTTTTTTGAGCTAGAGCGGCATATTTACACCTGCAGCCAACACATGGAGATTCACCCTTGGCAAGGTGATTACAGTTAACTAAAAACTGTTACGGATTCAAATATTGGGGATGGATACAAGAGGAAAAACCACAATAACAACACTGGTCCGGCCGGGTTGAGTCAAACGATGATTTTAATGATCACACGCGTGGGAGATGGACACCGTACGCAGACAGCATCAGATCTCAAAATGGTGGAGCATTGATTAAACTCTTATAGCCTCTAGTGGCCCCCACCTTATCATAAAAGCCTAAACATTCACATTCTTTCTCTCACACAGCGCCTAAGCTACGACCTTGGCTCCCTGTTTATCTGCTCCTGCTGAGTTGGGGCAGAAAACTCCAGTATGTTCTGTTCTCTTCTACTCAGACAAATAAGGCAATGACTTTCTGCGAACAGTATTTCTTATAACTCAGCAGTATAATGCATCATAAAACAATGTCATTCATTCACAATAAATCAGCAGTCTAATGTAATGCAAATCAGTTTAACAAATGCAATAGTTATCACCTTCTTCTAATTCAGGAGAATAATGCAAACTAAAACTACATAATAATTCACAATCTTCAATTAGGGGTATAACATGGCATAAAATAATATTATAATCCAAGATTCCCCCTGATGAGCTCTTTAGAATAAAGAGCTCACCTACACCCTGTAATCCAGTGTGGCAGGGTTCATTTCTTCTCACTCCTGAGGTCCTTTGTCCCCCTGATGGGCGAACCATATGTGAGATGACCTCTGTGTTTGCGCAGTTCAGATGCAAGAAAAACTATTATTACAACAGTAGCCGGTACAGATGACACCTCCATCACTCCCCAGTTCTTCCACAGCTTTATTTTGGTGCTACCTTATACCCTTCAAACGTACCCAGACTAGAACCTCTGTCCAAGGAGCTTTTAGCCTTTATTTTATCGCTGCAGCTACCAGTGTCTTCCAGTTGGGTTATCCTCTGCTCTTCTTTCTTCAACCTCAGGGGTTAGACAACCCTTCAGTCGTTGCACAGATCAGGGGATTATTCTGCCCCGATTTCAAAGAACGATCTGTGTATCCTCGGGTCCTGTGTGTCCTGTGTATCCTCCAGAAAAAGGAACAGGAACGTGTCCCCCTTTTGACCAAGAGCCTCTCGAACCTCGTTGGTCTGGTGTTCCTGGATTTCCGCCAACCCCTTCATGCTTATTACTGTGTTTATGGGATCCATCCTTTTGAGGTGACTAATCGGAGCCCAAACGCCATGACACTTGGACCCAGTTGGTGTCTCGGCAGTCACCGTGTCTGTCTCTGTTGTGAAGGATCCTCGTATATCTGTGACCTCATCTGGTGTCTGTTCCTTTCTCTGTAAGAGACAGAAAACCAAAACACCTCTCTGCCTAGCTCTAATAATTTAATGTTGTTATCTACTGATCTTCTGGCGATTCAGAATTGGTTTAGAATATTCAGAATGTCCCAGGGACTTATTCTAATCATATCCTATGTGTGTGTAAGCGTGTTTGCATTTAGCCCTCTGCACTCAAAGTCAATACCTGCAATATATCAGTCCGGACCATCACGCCAAACGAAGCTTATGACCTCCAAAAGACCGAGTGCCGACTCATTATAAGCACATTTGCAAGGTGTGTCTGAAAATTATTAAAACCACTCATTTTAACAAAAGACATCAAAAACAAATTAGCCATTTTTAATCCTAACATTTGCCCCCCAAAAATCATGTGTTTGCTTCCGCCTACTGTCCCACGGTTTCCTCTCCAGTGTGGCACTCAGCTTCTCATGAACACAGGCATTTTATCATCTAAACGCTATTCAGTTCATTTCAATGATTAATGCTTAAACATGGAAATAATGATTTATGCTTCTCACTGGATCTCTAAAAAAGTCCGGAAACCTCTTGGGTCACTATTAGCTTAAGCTTTACCATACCTAAGTTATTAAAACACAAATGAAGTCATAAAAATGTTCATATAATCCTTGTTTGATGTTAAAACTCAACTCCCCCCCCCTTTTTTGACACATTCCCATGTGTCAAATCAACGGAGCTAGAAAATTAAAAGAAAAGCTTAGTGACCTCATATCTTAGAAAGTATGAGACCTTCTCCTATCCAGTGTCGTTGCTCCAGTCCTGTCAGCCTGTGCCAGGGAATGAAACCAATTTAATTGTCATGTTAGATCTGTTCAACTCCTGGCTCCGCCCAGAGGCTGCGTCTGCAGAATTGCCAAGAAACAAAACCTGTAATAATATGAACTTCACTTGAATATGAACTTGTTGACTACTTTTGACACAGCAAAGGAATATCCTCTCCTTCTCGAGGACAGGCACTGACTCCCACTTATCTCCTGGAGCCAACTGTCCCTTATGGAGACACAATATTGCAGCTACAAGGTTTTGCAGATTGTTAAGTTTTTGTTTTTTTTCTTAAATTTTATTTTTGCATTTAAATTAAACATAACATGCTTATACAAAATCAACCAAGAACAATTACTGTTTTTAACATTTGTGAACTTATAAGCATGAAAGGGGAAAAAAAGAAAGGAAAAAAGAAGAAAAAGAAGAGGAAGAAAAAAAAACAAATAAAATAATTCACGCGGAGTGTGAGGCATGAATTATGATCAGTTATTTTTTTAAGAATTTGAGAAATGGTTGCCAAATCATACAAAAACTCGCCAGTTTCCCCTCTCTATCAAATCTCATCTGCTCCACCCTGGCCACAGACACCATCTCATTAAGCCACCTGTTAAAACACGGGGCCGAAGAAGACCGCCACTGTAAAAGAATAAGTTTCTTTGCAGCCAGCATACCCATTGTAATTATCTGTTTTTGTGAAAAGGAAAAAGATTCGACTGATGCAAATGATCCAAGTATAGCCAATGTACCATCACGTGGTACTTTTTTCCTAAATTGGTTTGAAAACCACATAAAAATCCGGCTCCAAAAAGCATTCAAAACCGGGCAATGCCAAAATAATTGTGCAAGGGAACCTTCACCGACTTTACATCTGTCACATAAGGGGGATACAGAATTATAGATCCGGTTAAGTTTAAGTTTAGAAAAGTGTAGTCTATGAATGACTTTAAACTGGATTAGTTTATATCTGGCATTTATTGAGCCTTTCTGAATATTGGACAAACAATTTGACCATTGGTCTTCAGACAGAGGTCTTCAGCCCATGTTTTCTTAATTCGGTCGGAATCAACTGGGATTGTAAAGCACTTAACAAACTGAGATATCAAACGTTTAAAATCTGCTTTCCGAATTATATCAAAGTAAGTATAACTTCGTGGCTTCAGTGGAAAGTCTGAAAAGTTTTGTTGAACAAAATTCCTTATTTGAAGATAACGAAAAAAATGTGATTGAGGTAATTGAAACTTTTCTTGAAGTTGAAGGAAGGACATAAATTTGTCATCTGTATATAAGTCCTCAATGTATTTCAATCCCTTTTCCATCCATTTTACCTGGTTTAAACAAGTAGTTATGTATTATTGGCATTCCTACTGAAAAATCAGGTAGTTTGAGAGATTTCCTAATTTGACTTAATATCTTTAAAGAGTGTTTAACAACAAAATTACGACTGAGCGAATTGTTAAAAGAACCCGTGTTAGAAAACAATAAGACCGGTAATGAGGCTTCAGATACTGTTGCTGCCTCTACCTGGAGCCAGATCGGAAGCTTGTCATGGCAATAATCAATAGGCGAACCCCACTGCCAGTGCAATAGAGCTCTTGAATTTGCTGCCCAATAATAATATCTAAACACAGGGAGACCTAACCCCCCGCAGGAAGTGTTTTTTTGAAGATGAGCCATGGATATCCGAGGGGGTTTTCCTGCCCAAATGAATGAGTGAATCAATGAATCAAGCTGCTTAAAAAATTTAAGTGGCAAGTGAATAGGAAGGTTTTGAAAAAGATATAAAAATCGTGGCAAAGACACCATTCTAACTGGATTTATTCGACCGATCAGAGACAGAGGAAGCAGCTTCCATTTTCTAATATCATCTTTGAACTTATCCAGCATTTCCAGGAAATTCAATTTATAAAGGAGTTTGGGATTTTTAGAGATCTTAAGACCAAGATAGGTAAAAGACTTAGTTACTAATTTGAATGGGAGTGAGCTGAGGAACTTTGGGCATAGATTATCTGTTATTGGCATAAATTCAGATTTATCCCAATTGATCATATATCCTGATAATTTCCCAAAGTGTTTAATACAATTTAAAAGATTAGGGAATGAGATTTCTGGTTTGGAAAGGCAGATCAGTAAGTCATCTGCATAAATGTTAACAAGACTTTCCACATTCCCAAATTTAACTCCCTGTATACCTGGGTGGTTTCTTATGTTAATGGCTAGGGGCTCCAGGGCTATATCAAAAAGAAGCGGTGAGAGGGGATCCCCCTGTCTCACCACACGTTGTAATTGAAAGGGAGAGGATTTATCTGCATTAGTGAGAATATGTGCAGATTGTTAAGTTGATCTGTGTGTAATGCTCTGAATCAGGTATGTAATATTAAATGAATGTCGTTTAATTAACTGCCACTACTTAAAACTTAGCAAAAAATATAACTGAATAAAAGATCACAAAGAAAAACATGATATCAGTGTTATGTAAGTGTGTGCGGCCTTCTATGCTCGAAGTCACCCCAGTCCATAGATCAGCCAAACATCACGTTGACTGTAGCTTTTAACCCTTGAGCACAACTCTATAACGAGCAACAAACTGCAATATGTATAAAAATGATCATGGTTACACCTGCAATGAAAGATCATATGATTATCCTGACACCTG